ATGTACACACACACACACACACACATATATATGTGTGTATGTGTGATATCCAAAGCAAATTGCCAAACGATATTAAACAAAAAGGAACCTATGCTGATAACCACAATCCTCTTCAACATCGTTTTCTCTTAAAACTCTGACTATTCAGACAGAAATTTTTCATTACTTTTTTCAGATCATGATGGCTGCATGAAATCATTTTGAGACGATAAAGAAAATAAACAAAAACTAGAATGAAGGAATGATTTAAGAAAGAGGAAAAAAGACAATATCCATTAACTTTTAATATCACTTATTAAAACACATAACATTTGAATTGATTTACAATATAGCGGTTATTTCATATTCACAGTCACATATTTTGTAAAAGGAAAAAAAATCGGCGAGTTAACCTAAATTAATTTATACAGTCACTCATACACAATACTATGCACACATATATACAAATAGACACATTCTCACTTCTAAATAAATGAAAACACACTTTTGCTTATAATTGCAACATCCGAATAAGTTTAGAATACCACAAAAAGAAAAAAAAGGTTATAAAGATTTAAATTCTCATTATTTTTCTCATTGAATAAAAAAAAAACGTTATGAAGATCTTGAGTTTCCTTGCCTGTGTATTTTTTCTCACTGAATAAGAAGAAAAAAATAAGGAAAAAGAATTTTACGAAAATTCCAGTTTTCCTTATCTTTGATTTTTTTAAATGATGATTTCCATTTCCGTTACCCTTGTTATTTCTCACTTAATAAAAAAAAACTTCAATTACCCTTACCTTTGCTTTTCCCTCACTGAATAAAAAAAAGTCGAAAGGCTTCAATTTCTCCTTATTTGTGGTTTCTCTCACTCATAAAACCTCTGAACCCCACTAGAACCTCTTCTCTTTACCTCAAGCAATTGTTTACAAATACAACTTCAGTCGCTGAGCGTTTCAGGTGAAGAAAGGAAAAAAGAAAAGAAAAAAAAAGAAAGAAAGAAAAAGAAAAAACAGGAAAAAATGCATGTTCACTCTTAATGCAAAAAAAAATCGTCGATGTACAATGTGACTAGAATGAAGCAAAGTGTTTCTGACAGCGGTTGTCATGGAGGTGGCACGCTGTCAGCTCCTGTCAGCTCAGACTTCGCTCAGGGTGTCAGGTTCGGGGATCAAGGCATCTGTTGATAAAGGAGAGATAGAAGGTTTTGATAGCTAAGGTAATGGATGATACGGATAGGTATGTAGATGAATTGATAAAGGTTATAAATGTAAGAAAATAAACATATTCGTGAATGACAAAGATTATTGGGAAATAACACACATTGAAAGTTTTTAAAAGCAGCTCAAAAAGTATGTAGGCTGGCACATTTGTACAGGTCTACATTATTTCTATTTTCCCATTCTTTACCATTTTTTCCCTTTTCCATTTTTATCCCCCCTTCCCCCTTCTGAAAAAATAGAATTCATAGGCCTACATAATCAAAGGTTCCATAAGAGGCCTAGATTCTGCAGGCTGGCACATCTATATAGTCCTATATTATTTTTATTTTCCCATTCTTCACCATCGAGTTTTTCTTATCCCCCACCACCTACAAAGATAACAGATAGGCCTACACACCAGAATCCCCTAATAGTCCGAACTCCACAACCCACAACCCACTTATCCAATAAGGCCCGACAACCCCCTCCCACTCACCCAAAACACCCCTCCCACCCCTCCACTCACCCCAAAACACCCCTCCCACTCACCCAAAAACGAGGGAACTCACCCAGAGTTCCACGAGCGGCCCGAACCACAACCCGCAACCCAAATCACCCAAAACACCCCTCCATTAGCTCCCACTCAAAAACACCCCGAACTCCACAGCCCACAACCCCACTCATTCAATAACGCCCCGACAACCCCTTCCCACTCACCCAAAACGAGAGAAGTCACCCAGAGGTTCCCTGAGCGGCCCGAACCCCACAACCCCACTCACCCAAAAAAAACTCCCGCCCCTCCCACTCACCCAAAACCCCCCTTCCACCCCTCCCACTCACCCAGAGGCTCCCCGAGCGGCCCGAACTCCGCCGGCTGGCTGATGAGGTGCAGGAAGGCGTCGTCGACCCTCGCCCGGTGCTCGAACAGGAAGTCGGCCAGAGTGTACACCTGCGTCCCGTCGGACAGAATCTCGATCATCTTCACAGGCACGTTGTTGATGCGTAGGTTTCCTGGAATTTCGGAGAGTGAAACTTATATAACGGGGGTATAGTATTCGGTATTTGTGTGTCTGTATCTATGTCTGCCTCTCTATTTATGACTTTTGGATGTCGTTATAGCGTAAACTTATTTAACTTTCGTAGGGTCTAAGTTTACATTCTGGAGGTTATATAATAAGGTATAACATTCGTTGATTTTGTCTCTGTATGTCTGCCTTTCTACCTATGTTACCTGCTGAAAATTTTGCCAGTGTTATAGGATGGATCTGCTGGAATTTCACAGTTAAAGTTATATCCTGGACGGTATATAATGTGGGTATAATATACTGCGTATGTGTCTCTGTATGTCTTCCTTTCTATGCCAATTACTGTGAATTCTATTAATGGCATGGCTTGAATTTCCTGCAATTTCGCAGAAAGTAAAGTTACATTCTGAAAGATGTTAATTTAGGTTCTGTATTCGAAATTTTGGGATTAGTGTTTGCATCCAGCTTTCAATCTGTATCTGATTACGTTGCTTATTCTCAGATTTCTGAAATTCAAATCGATGATTAATACGTTACACCAATCGAAATAGAATTTATTTTACCTGCAATCATCTGTTGTACCGACAGCATACCTATCAGTCGATCTATCTATCTATTATTCTATATCTAATCCTTCTATCTATCTATCTCAATTGATAGGTGGATAAGTAGATAGATATATATCTATATTAAAAAAATATATATACACATTTACACATCTTATTTGACTCCATTACATTTCATTTTTACCATAATTTATAACAGAAGCGGCGTTCGTACCTTCCGAATCAACAGCAAAGGCGAGTGTCTTCCCCGCCAGGTTGGTCACCTGGAGTCCTTCGGCTGACCCTATCTTCGGATCCTGGACGTCGATGGGATCCAGGGCCATGTAATCGAGCAGGAACTCCGTGCGAAGGGCGACGTTCTCAGGGGCGTCGTCGTAGAGGGGGTGAGGGGCGTCCTGGGGTACCAAGTTCACCACCTCCAGGAAGTCGGGAGATAGGAGCGTCTTTGGTTCTGGGAGGAAGGAAAAAATGATGGAATTTTAACACTGTGGACGTCTGAAGATGGATTTGAAATGAGGAAGAACTGATACGTAAAAGAAAAGAAAAAATCACACACAAAAGAAAAACAAAAATAATAGTGACATCTTACCATCAATTCATGAAACGTTTATGTGTTATGTATAAACATGGGCCCATAAAAAGAAAAAGATAAAGTCGTTTCACTTTTAAAAAAAGAATTTATCTTAATCTTTACGTTTTTCAACCATAGTTAGGAGACTCTACCTCTAGCATCCCTGAGTGCAGCCGACGGACCCTGAGCCCTGAGTGCGTGGCGCCAGATGTCGATGAGGGACGAGGATTCCCCTTCGTCCACGAGCTTGGGGATTTCGGGGAGGCTCAGGGTAGTCTCTGCGGCTGCGGGACCCTGTGGCTGTTCCACTTCCGGCTCTGTCTGGAGAGCTTTTGGCATGGCTTCGTCTGTCTCTGATATCGCTTGGGTCAACTCTGAAAGATCTTGAATTGAGTCTGAAGGTTTTTGAACGGTTTCCGACGCTGCTTGCTCCTGTGCGGGCTCTGGCAGGGTTTGTTCTGCTTCCGGATCTGCTTGGAGGGGTTCTAGTGGCGTGTCATCCGTTTCTGACACGACTTGGATCTGAATCGACTCCGAAGCAATCTGATCGCCTTCCGGAACAGCTTCAAGAGGATCTACCTGTGCTTCCTCCGCTTCCAGCACTACCCGAACAGGATCGGACTGGATGCTATAAACTCCAGGAACTATCGGAACATCTCCTAACTCAGCTGGATCCGATTCCGCGCCTGCTTGAATCGATTCCAGCAGTTCCAAGTCCGAATCTGAAACAGCTACCACCTCTGCTCGAGTTGCTTCTTGTTCTGCTCTCGCGGATCCAGACAAGTCACCGCCGTCTTCTACCAGCGCCTGCTCCGGCTCTCGCAAACCTTCCGCTGTCTCCGGGAATGTCTGCGTTTCTGTCAGGAGCGAATCCGACGCCGTTTCGTCCGTCTTTCTGACACTCTCTGACGGTATCTGATCATTCTCCGGCTGCGTCTGAATAGCCTCTGCTGAAGACCGATCGAACCCGTTTTGTTCTTCAACTAATTCTGGTACAAAAGCAACTTCGTCAAATTGTTCAGTTGTCTTGAGAGCTGGTTGAGCTTCGGCTTGGAGATCTGGTGGAAATAAAAGGTAATTCTATAAAATAGGGAATTATAATATAAAATATGGTACTTATACGTTAAGAAACCGATAGTGAAGACGTAAAATAGAGAGCAATGATATCAAAAGATCAGATAATTTAACCCACGACGCGTACCTTTAAACGAATAAAAAATATACATAAACGCCCATACACAAGCAAAGAAACACACACGCACAAGGTTAACCAAACGCACTCGCAAACACAATCGCAAAAAAATACAACAATAATCCAATAAAAAATACACCAATTAAAACAAACAAACAAACACAAACTCCCCAACACCTGACCTTCTCAAACGGGCTTCATCAACCCTCAGAACCCAGCCGGATCTTCTCTCTCTCTTCGTTCAACTTACCCAAAGGTTCGCCCAGCGGTGTGAACAAAGAGGGTTGTTTGTTCAGCTTTCGGAAGGCCTTGTTCACGCGTTCACGATGGTCGAAGAGAAAGTCCGTGAGTGTGAAGACCTGTGTTCCATCTGAGAGGACCTCCATTGCTTCCACCTTGACTCCGTTGACTAAGAGGTTATCTAAAAAATAATAATAATAAATAAGTAAATAAATAAATTAATGAATACATGATAAATAGATACATAAATAAACAAACGAATGAATAAACGATACACAGATGCATAAATGAATCAATCAATAAATAGACAGATAAATCAATCAATGAATAAGTGAAAAAATAGATGAATAAATCAATAAGTGAATGGATATGTGAACATATGAATGAATGAAAAAAATAACGAATAAATAGATGGATAAATAAAGGAATAAATAAATATGTGAACGAATAAATAGATGGATAAATAACAGAATACATAAATAAATAAATAAATAAATAAAATAAATAAATGTGGAATTTTATTCTTGCCTGGCTGCGCGTTTTACTGTATGTATTTTATCAGTCTTTTGTCTTCATATAGTTGTCTATCTCTGTTTATCTGTATCTATCTATATTTGTCTATCTATATCGGCTTCTCCGTGGCAATCAGTCTGTTTAACTATATCTGTTTCTCTCTTTTCATATATATCTACCTCTGTCAGTGTATTTATAACTGTCTCTATATCTGGCTATCTTTTTATATCTGTCTCTCTTTGTCTATCTATATCTGTGCTGTGCTGGCGCAGCGGTAAGGTGCTTGTCTCTCTCCGTCTATCTGTATCTGTCTCTCTCCGTCTATTTATATCTGTCTCTCTCCGTCTATCTATATCGGTCTCTCTCGGTCTAGCTGTATCTCTCAGTCTATCTATATCTGTCTCTCTCCGTCTATCTATATCTGTCTCTCTGCGTCTATCTATATCTGTCTCTCTACCTATTCCCATCTATCTCGCACTGTCGTCTGTCTACATCCATCTTTCTCTGTTTATCTACATCTATCTAACTATCTATCTATCCATCTGTCTTTCCATATCCACTTATCATATCACAGTAAACCTTGGCAACACTGACCCTGGTTGTCGACGGCGAAAAACAGCTCCTTCCCGGCGAGGTTGGTAACCCTGAGTCCCCCTGACTGTGTCGACTGGATACTGAGAGGGTCGAGAACTAGGTAGTCCAGCAGGATCTCCTTCAGCAGCGCCACGTTCTCGGGGGCGTCGTCGTAGAGGGGGTGGGGGGCGTCTTGGGGAACCAGGTTGACCACCTCAAGGAAGTCGGGAGAGAGGAGCGTCTTGGGGACTGTTGGGAATAAGAGGAAATGGCGAGGTGTTTGCGTTGGTATCTTAGGCTGGTTATATCATCGCAGTGTTGGGTCTGTGTTTCAGATTATACTCTGTTTTCCTTCTCTCTCTGTCTCTCGCTTTCACTATCTGTCTCTCTCTCTCTCTCTCCATCTATCCAGATATCTGTTTCTATTTCTATCTCTCTCTCTCCCTCTCCTTTTCTATACTTCCTCTCCCTTTCCCTCTCCATCCTTCCCTCCTTTATCCCTCTCCTTTCCATTCTTCCCTCCCTTCCCCCTCTTCCACTCCCTTTCCAACCTTCCCTCCCTTCCTTCCTCTCCTCCCCTCCCTTCCTCCCACACCTTCTTCCTCTCCCTCCTTTTCCCTCTCTTCCTTTAAAACACCGAAACAACCCCTCTAACCGCACCAAACCCAAGCACACGTACCTCTATCGTCCCTTTGGGTGGCTGAGACGTCCTGCGTCCTGAGGGCATGGCGCCAGAGGTTCAGGAGAGACGAGGCTTCCTGTTCGTCCACCAGACCGGGGATCCTTGGCACCGTCGTAGGATAAGCTGCCTCCTCCGTCGCCGTGTGTTCGACAGGCGTGGGAATCTCTGCAAATTGTATTAATCGTCATGATCACATTCTCCTTCAGATTGGCTTGTAAAAAGGTAATTTATTAACGTGATCCACCCCCCCACCTGAAAAAAAGAGAAAATCGATAGGCCTACATACCCAGAGGTTCCCCGAGCGGCCCAAACCCCACGACCCGCAATCCCACTCACCCCAAAACCCCTCCCGCCCCTCCCACTCACCCCAAACCCCCTTCCACCCTCTCCCACTCACCCAGAGGCTCCCCGAGCGGCCCGAACTCCGCCGGCTGGCTGATGAGGTGCAGGAAGGCGTCGTCGACCCTCGCCCGGTGCTCGAACAGGAAGTCGGCCAGAGTGTACACGAAGGTCCCGTCCTCGAGGGCCTCCGCGCCTTCCACGGGCACGCCGTTGATGGTGAAGTGTCCTGCGGGGGGAAGGGCGCGGTGAGGTCTGGTCTGGTGGGGTTGGGTGAGGTTCGGGTGGGGTCGGGTGGGTTCTAGTAGGTTTGGGTGGGTTGAGATGAGGTTCTAATGGGTTGGGGTTGGCTTGGGTGAGGTTTGATGGACTGGTTGGTTGAGATGAAGGTTTGATGGGTTTGGGTGGGTTGGGTGAGGTTTTGGTGGGTTGGGGTGGGTTCTGGTAAGGTTTGATGGGCTAGTGGGTTTGGCCTGCTGAGGTTTGTATGCGGATTTGGGTGAAGTTTGGGTGGGTTTGGTCCGGTGGGTTCGGGTACGTTGGGTGGGCTGGATGAGTGACTGGGTGAGGTTTTGGTGAAGGTTTGGTGGGCTTAGTCTTGTGGGTTCGTGGGTTTCG